CCACTCCCTTCTAACACTGATCATGTTATCTAGTTGGGTCATAAAACGTCTGCAAGAAAACAAGCAACTAGGAGAGCACCAAGGACCCCATAGTTTTTTTCCTCCTCCTCCTCCTCCTCCTCCTCCTCCTCCTCCTCCTCCTCCTCCTCCTGCTCCTCCTTCTGCTCCTCCTGCTCCTCCCCACACATCCCACTCCCTTCTAACACTGATCATGTTACCTAGTTTAGGTCACGAAAAGTCTGCAAGAAAACAAGCAAGCTCAGAGTTCACCAGGGACCCCTCATGTCAGCCCTGAGCTAAGAATATTATCCTTCGTTGATTAATTTGTCGATTATTAATAAAGGCATCCATCTACCTACTATCCGGTAATTGCCCTATGGAGAAGATGGGCAGTATATAGAATTAATTAATTTAAGCAATCCATCCAGTTCCCAAGACTTCAGGTGATAGATAAGGTTTAAGACTGGAAACTATGAAGGAACTCAAGGATCTGGGTTGTTGTTTCTCAACCTTAGCACCTTTAAGAGGCCTGGACTTCAGCTCCCAGAATGCATTGCTGGCTGAGGAATTCTGGGAGTTGAAGTCCACCAGTCATAAAAGGGCCAAGTTTGAAGTCCCCTGCTATAGAATATATAAGGCAGGTATGAGTATTTTGAGGAAATCTTGAAGGAACATTCTGGAAAAAAGTAGATAGAGGCCTAGTTCAGATTTTTGTTGGCTGCTTTTTGGCTCCACGGCTGGAAGACACGTAATTATCACTAAATGTAGAACAAGGGTAAGATTTCTGCTTTTTTTCCCCCTCATAAAGAATGTAATACAGGTATGTAGTCCTAAACCAGGGGGTCTTCAAACTGGGCCCTTTCATGACTCGTGGACTTCAACTCCCAGAATTCCTCAGCCAGGCATGCTACATTTAGTGATCTTTCTCTATCTTCCAGCTATGGAGCCACAAAGCAGCCAACAAAAATCTGAACTAGGCCTCTGTCTACTCTTTTTTTCCAGAATGTTCCTTCAAGATTTCCTCAAAATACTCATACCTGCCTTCAGGGCTTTTTTTCTCGGAGAAAAGGTGGCGGAACTCAAACCTGGCCACGCCCTCATCAAACCCTAGGACCGCCCCTTTAGAGAACAGGAATGCAAGTAAAATTTGGGAGGGGCTATTTCCGGTGCGGCCGGCCCGGAAAAAGGTGCCGGAACGCGGTTCCGCCGCGTTCCGGCTGAAAAAAAGCCCTGCCTGCCTTATATATTCTATAGCAGGGGTCTTCAGACTTGGCCTTTTTATGACTTGTGGACTTCAACTCCCAGAATTCCTCAGCCAGCATGGGGGAACTCTGGCCCCTTCATGACTTGTGGAATTCAACTCCCAGAATTCCTCAGCCAGCGTGCCTGGCTGAGGGATTCTGGGAGTTGAAGTCCACCAGTCATGAAAGGGCCAAGTTTGAAGAGCCCTGATCTAAAAGCTTTTCAATCTGAGCTGCTTTTAACATGTCTGGACTTCAGCTCCCAGAATGCATTTCTGGCTGAGGGATTCTGGGAGTTGAAGTCCAGATATTTTAAAGTGACACACTGCTAGAGATATGAAATATGAAAACCACAGCCCTGTCTACATAAAATCCATATCAGCATTGCACAAAATGGTTTTCCAGTTTTCCAAACTGCAAACTAACCACCTGAAATATGAAAATAATCTTTACAGCTCTGCAAAAAATCCCATAATAAGAAAGTGCCGGTTCTGAGAAGGGAGCCTATATTTCAGGGGTCACCACTAAGCAGGACTGCCTTGATGGGGGGGTGGGGTGACAAAACCTTAAGCAATGTTTCCAGCCAATGCTTCAGAAATTCAGGTGCCATGGACAGTTTTATTTTATTTATTTTTTATTTTATTTTATTTTTATTATTTTTATTTTTTGTTTTGTTCTATGTTTTATTTTATTATTTTATTTCTTTTATTTTATTTTTCATATAAACTGTTATTTACTGGTGTATATATAAACAAAGCAATATTATTTTATTTTTTTATTTTTTTATTTTATTTTTATTTTATATTTTGTTTTGTGTTATATTTTATATTATTTTTATTTTATATTTTGTTTTGTTTTATATTTTATATTATTTTTATTTTATATTTTGTTTTGTTTTATATTTTATTTTATTTTTTATTTTTTATTTTATTTTTTTAATTTTATTTTTCATATAAGCTGCTATTTACTGGTGTTCATATAAACAGCAAACCCCACTCTTCTAAGACTGATGATATTTATTTTTATTTATTTATTTTATTTATTTATTTATTTTTATTTTATTTTATTTTTATTTTATATTTTGTTTTGTTTTATATTTTATTTTATTTTTTTATTTTATTTTATTTTTTATTTTATTTTTATTTTATATTTTGTTTTATATTTTATTTTATTTCATTTTATTTTTTATTTTTTTATTTTATTTTTCATATAAATTGTTATTCACTGGTGTTCATATAAACAAAGCAAACCCCACTCTTCTAAGACTGATGATGTTCCCTAGTTGGGTCATGAAATGTCTGCCAGAAAACAAGCAACTCGGAGAGCACCAAGAAGCCCATAGTAGCCCCCCATCCTCCTCATCCTCCTCCTCCTCCTCCTCCTTCTCTCTACAAACATCCCTCTCTTGTAGCACTGATGATGTTACCTAGCCGGGTCATGAAATGTCTGCAAGAAAACCACCAAGCTCAGAGAGCACCAAGGACCCCACAGTCGTCGTCCTCCTCCTCCTCCTCCCTCCTAGCACTGATTCTGTTATCTAGTAGGGTCATGAAATGTCTGCAAGAAAACAAGCTCAGAGAGCATCAAGGGCCCCCCATTTAACGAGGCCCTCTGCCTGGGGTCTTCTTACAGCCAGGCGCCAACGAGAGGAAGTCGGAAATGCTGCCCGCCGGCTGGAATGCCGACAAGGAACTCTACACTCTGCGCTACCGGCTGAAGGACGATTCTCACGACCTGCTGGTGAAAGCCATTTTGATGGACAACAGCATCATTCTCAACGTCATGGTGAGGCTGCTTTGGGGGGGGGCACTGATCCGTGCTCCCCTAAAGGGGAAGAAGCCACCGTACCTAACTCTTCTCCTGAAGGATGGAGATGTAAACCCAAAGCAATCAACCTCTTATGGACTGGTCATTGGCTGCCCTAAAGGTTTTGGTCTCTTTTGAACCTGGAGCAGAAGCCGGAAGGGAGTGACACATAGGTCTGGGAGTACCACCTGCCAGGTCACCCCATTCTTCTCCCCATGCCTAGCAAACATTTTGGGTGCGAAAGACAAAAGCTTCTAGCCCAGCGTTCCTCCACCTTGACCACTTTAAGATGGGGTGGACTTCAGCTCCCAGAATTCCCCAGCACAGCTGGCATTGCTGGCTGAGGAATTCTGGGAGTTGAAGTCCACAAGTCATAAAAGGACCAAGTTGGAAGACCCTTGCAAAAGGTTTTCAAAGAAAAAAGAAAGACCAGTTGCCTTTTGGGGGGGGGGGAAGCACTTTTAGGACACCCTACGTGGCGTTCAGCTTCCTGCTTCCCTGTTGTTTCTGTCCCTCTCCATCCAGGATCCCAAAACACAGAAAGTGGCGGATCTCACCTTGAAAGTGACCGACTACATTGACCCAGAACATCTGGCTGATTTTGACAGGTGATTGAAGTTCTTTTCACATATCTAACGAGGGGCTCTGAAAAATGTTGGGTTGGCATAAAATGGTGTCTTTTCTCACACCGCTGCAGGGGTTGCTGGGATCTGTGCAGTGTAAGCCTGGACTTTATTTTGATTTATATTCCGCCTTTATTATTTTTATAAATAACTCAAAAGCAGCGAACATACCAAATACTCCTTCCTCCTATTGGGCCAATGGTTATACCCAGCCGGCTTTCATGTCTATGGTGGGACTAGAACTCATTGCCTCCTAATGATGGACCCAATTCAGCCAGC